GGCCCGAGTCTCCCCGTCCAAGGGGGGGGGGCAAAGGGGCAGGAGGGAGCCGGGGCAGAGCCTGGGGCAAGGATGTCAATTTTTGGTTAACTGGCTCATAGAATCACAGAGCCGGCAGAGACCTCAGAAGGTCATCAAGTCCAGCCCCCTGCCCAAGGCAGGACCAACCCCAACTCAATCATCCCAGCCAGGGCTTTGTCAAGCTGAGACTATTCAATGAGTCGATAAGGGGCGTCTCTGCCTTTCAAATGTAGCAACATCCCCAGGGCTGCTGCTACATTTCAAAGGCGAAAGCCCCAGGGGGAGCACAGGGCCAGTGGGGGAATCAAGCAGTCCCCTGCGGGCCCCGTGCTCCCTGCGGCGTTTAAAAGCAGCAGCGCCGCATGGAGCCCGGGGTCAGCTGCTGACCTGAGGCTCCACACTGCAGGGAGCCCGGCGTCAGGCTCCACGTGGCATTTCAAAGCGGCAGCACCGTGTGGAGTCCCCTGGGACTGGCCCTGGGCTCTATGTGCCTCCCCCCACTTGCTGCCTCTTTGTGATAGAGTCAGCAAGGGGGAGGGGAGAAGCAACTAGTCAACTAACCTATCGACTATCCGATAAGCATTTGCTTATCTTGTGCAAAAACTTGCTGGGTGTCTACACTGCATGCACGTTCTTGCGCAAGTAAATTTACAGTACAGCGTCAGAAAACAGGGCTTCTTCTGGAAGAGTTATTCCTCTCCCCACGAGGAATAAGCCCTCTTGCACAAGAGCTCTTCCACAAGGAGGCAGTGTAGACAGGAAACATGATTTTCTTGCGCAAGAGAGCATCTACACTGCCATGGATGCTCTTGCGCAAAAGCACATGGCCGTGTGGACGCACTCTTGTGGAAGACTTTTTGCACAAGAACTCTTGTGCAAAACAGTTCTTGTGCAAGAAGCCTGCAGTGTAGACATAGCTTAAGGGTATGTCTATACTGCACCCTTCTTTTGAAATAAGCTTCGCAATTTGATATATGCAAATTGAGAAGCTTATTTCGAGTTAATTTCTAAATAGAGCACTATTCCAAAATGTCCCTTAATCCTCTTGGAACGAGGTTTACAAGGACGTTGGAATAGTGTGCCCATTATTTTGTAAGCTATTTTGAAATCATGGGTGCGCTTTTAAGACATGGAAAATGCTATTTCGGGATACTGGAACTATCACGAAACAGCACCACTGCCTAAATGTACCCTAAGGGACATCCCAAAATAAACAACTGAAATTGACTTTAAATAAAGAAATATTTATTAAAGAAAGCAAAAATCAGAAAAGGATAAAGTAACTGAATCAATAAGGATAATGTGAATGATATTTGCCTTAAAGACAGGTCAAAGAAATGGCTGATAAAATGTAGCAATTGTTAAAATAACCTCTCAACTAAACTTGAAATTCTTTAAAAAAAACAAACAAACAACAAACCCTCCCCCCCCAAAACTTTGGTTAACTATATAGTGTTATACGACTGAGTATAAAACTAAAATCTATAGACATTACATTTAATGATATTAATTTAATTAAACTTCACTGGTAGTTAAGCATTATTAACACAATTCAATAAGACAGAGAAATAGTATCAGATGACCAAGTATGAACTCAGAGACTAACTAGATTAAAAGAAACTACTTAATTTGATATTAAATCTTTTCAACTAAAACATATTTGGACAAAATGAGAAATTGGATAGGACAAATTGAAAATCATGTAATTTTAACAAAAGCTAATGAAACAATGACTTCTTTTACTTCTGTATTAAGAAGATAACTTTGTGAAGCTAAGCATTATTCTGAAGGTAAATTCAAATGTACATAATCACTATAGCTCAAAACTCAGCATTGTTTAAACACGTTCCTAGCTAGAAATGGTTGCAATGAAACATACAAAATCTAGGGGTACAAGAATGATCCCAGGGGACAATGCAACAGTACCAAACAGAGAGGATTAGCTCAGATATGATGGTATTAGTAAGCAATGGGGCTGAGATCACACCATTCTCATTGGCATGTACCATTGGCATTTGTGAATCACAGTCTACATACCTTTCTCCCCCAATTCCTTATATAGAGAGAGCATAGGCTGCTAACTCAAGCTTTGGGGAACCTGTGATTTTTCTAGGTGCCTAAAAGTTAAGCATTTCAATTCTCAGTGTCACAGTCCCTTGGAGCATCCAGGTCTAAACCACTATCAGGTATAAACCAGAAGTCACATTCTATAAGATGAAGATAGTTCTAGGTTGGGGTAGTCAATAGATGGAACATGTGCCAAATCCGGATCACCAAATACTTTTGGCTGGATCTCCAAATCTTTGTATCTTGAACCAAAAATAATTGATAACATCAGAAGTAAAAGTAGTAGGAGATGGAGGATGTTCACCATTTCTCGAAAAAAATCACAATCAAATGCAGTCACCATGTACGACTCTTATCTCAGCCTCTTGCTCTGCATGGCTCTGTCCCAGGAAGACGATTTCATTTTCTGTTTTAATAAATATTTCACATCTTAGTTATATGGCTACTCCAGCCTGGCCTGACCCTTTGGAATTCATGGGAATTGGAAAAGGTGTCTTGCACTTGGCCCAGACCTAGCCAGGACATTTCTACGGTTTATGCCCTCTGTGGATTTTCTTATGTGTACTAAGAGTTGAGCTGTGTCGGAAGTTCTTCCCACAGTCAGTGCACTTGTAGGGTTTCTCACCACTGTGGAGTCTTTTGTGTGACAGAAGGTGCGAGCTGCCTCTAAAACTTTTCCCACACTCATTGCACGTGTAAGGTCTCTCATCTGTGTGGGATCTCTGATGAAGAGAAAGGGATGAGTTGTTATAGAAACTTTTCCCACAGTGAAGACATTTGTAGGATCTTTCTCCTCTATGGATTTTCTGATGTTCGGAAAGGGAGGAGCTTGCACGGAAGGTTTTTCCACAGTCCGAGCATTCATAGGGTTTCTCCCCTGTGTGGATCCTCTGGTGAGAGGTAAGTGTAGTTCTGCGAGTGAAGCTTTTCCCACAGTCAGAGCAGTTATATGGTTTCTCTCCTGTGTGGGTTGCTTGATGCGAACGAAGGTTTGAGAGGTAACTAAAGCTTTTCCCACACTCATTGCATTTGTAGGGTCTCTCCCCTGTGTGGGTTCTTTGATGATAATTCAGTTCCTCACTGTAACCAAAGCTTTTCCCACAGTCCAAGCAGTTATAGGGTTTCTCTCCTGTGTGAATTCTCTGATGCTTAACGAGGGATGAACTTTGGCTGAAGCTTTTCCCACACTCAGTGCACTGGTAGGGTCTCTCTCCTGTGTGGGTTCTCTGATGTGACAGAAGGTTTGAGCTCTGAATGAAGCTTTTCCCACAAGTAGGGCATTTATAAGGTTTCTCCCCTGTGTGGGTTCGCTGATGTGACAGAAGAGATGAGCTTACCCGGAAGTTTCTCCCACATTCCCTGCATTCATAAGGTTTCTCACCTATGTGGATTCTTCGATGCTGAATGAGGGTTGAGCTCCGAGTGAAGCTTTTCCCACAGTCAGAGCAGTTATAGATCTTCTTTCGTTCGTGGACTGTCTGGTGTGTAATTAGGGCTGAGCGTTGTTTGAATCCTTTCCCGCAGTCCAGACACGTGTAGGGTCTCTCCCCTGTGTGGGTTCTCTGGTGTGTGGTAAGTTGTGATCTGCACCGGAAACTTTTCCCACAGTCACCGCACGTGGAGGGTGTCTTCCCAGCGAGGACTTTCTGCTGAACTGGGTTTTTGCTTTCGCACCGCACGTGGAGGGTGTCTTCCCAGCCGGGACCCTCTGCTGAACTGGGTTTTTGCTTTCCTGTACCAGTGTTTTCTTGAGGGAGGATTTACACTGTCTCTGCCCCTGCTGGTCTTCCTGCTCCCTCACTGGCCTGCACTGACTCTCGCATGCATCTCGCTGCACAGGAGTCTGAGAAACCGCCCCTTCGGATCGTCCTGACGTTGTTCTGTGTGGCTCCGATTGCTCAGGATGTACCTGATTCTCCTCCTTGTTTTCATTCACCATCCCATCACCTGCTACGACAGACAGAATCCAGTCAGTCCCTATGTGGGGGAGAAAGGGGAACAGTGAAGGGCAGAACAAATCCAGGGCACTGCAGGGGAGACTGAAATCGGAGTGGAACCCTGTGCACCTACAACCCCTGCCCCAGCAGAGAGAGAGGAGGGGACCTAGCATTCAAACAGAGACCGAGGCAAGGGCTGAAGGGTCCGACATGCCTAAGTGACGTCTTGCCATGAAGATACAATCACTGGTTTTCAAAGCAGTGTAGCTGATTCCTCACCTGTGCTGGGAACTCTCAGGATCTCCCATTCCTGGAGCTTCCCCCCTCGTTCCAACCAGGAGGTGACACTGGGTTTGGAAACTGGAAACCCTGTGGGGAGGGGGACGACAAGGAAATAAGTGTTGATCTTGTGCAGCCAGCTCAGTGCAATTACTGCGTTGAGCCCCAGGAGTTAAATAACCAGCCCAGAAAGGCTCCTGCCTCTCCCCATCCCCACACTACAGGAACTGGGCTGTCACACACGGTACGTCTACTCAGCGACATTATTTCGGAATAACTTAGTCCGCGTCTACACAACAGGCAGTTCTTCCGAAATAGTGTCGAAATACAGTCACGCTGGAGGACTTCTCACGCCAACTCCCGTAGCCCTCATTGTACGAGGAGTAAGGGAAGTCGGGGGAAGAGCGCTTTATTTCAAAATAAGTGCCATGTAGATGCTCCCAGTTTTGAAATAAGCCACGCAATTGACGTAGCTCAGTTTTGCATCACTTATTTCAAGTTAAGCCTTGCTGTGTAGATGCACCTTTGATCAGCCCCTGATAGGCTGGTCCAGACCCCTCTGCCTAGCGAATTACCAACATGTAGTTCTCTAGGGGTGTATCTAGACTACAGGGTTTTGTTGACAAAAGTGGGCTTCTGTCGACAAAACTATACCTGCGTCTACACTACCGCCGAGTTCTACATAACGTCAACTGAACGCGGCAGTTTTGTCGACGGCGGTAAACCTCATTCTACGAGGAATAACACCTTTTGTCGACAAAGTTCTGTCGACAGGTGTTATCGTATCTACACTGTCCTTTGCGTCTACACTGTCATGTTAACAAAGCGGCTTGCTTTGTCGACAGAACTGGATGTCGTCTAGACGCTTTGTCGACAGAAGCTTTGTCGAAAGTATCTGTCAACAAAAGCCGGTAGTCTAGACGTACCCTAGGAGCTGAGCAGATGCTGCTGCTTTCTAGACACGGGGACCATAAAACTTCCATCACTGCCAATTACACTCCCTCCCACGGCACGTGCCTATCGCTCCTTCCCATTGGGACCTTGGGACCTTGTTGGGCTGCGGGCTGTCTCATTGTGTCTCTGTGCAGGGCTTGGCACTGACCACGGCCTCTTGAGCCCTAAAACGCATTGTCAGGAAACAAACAGAGGAAAACAACCCTAGCCCCGGGAAGAAGAGCACCACATCCTCGCCTCCAGGGCAGAGGACAAAGATCCTCCCCCCATGGCATCAGAATGGACTCGCCCTAAGGCCCTATCCTCATGCCAATCACTGGCCAGTCATCCATTCTCTACCCCTGCAGGCACTGGGCTGGCTGACTCTCCCTGTGCCTCAGCCTGCAACAAGCACCAAACACCCAGGGACACCTATTCCCCTCCCACTGCAGCTAAACACCTTGCACACGTAGGGCCACAGGGACCTTCAGAGACCAAGTGCCAGCTAAAGCCATATTGGCCTCATTATTCTTCCGACCTTTCCTTCACCTTGGGACAGTTTGCTGCTGTGCCCCAAATACTGTCTCTGTGAGAAAGTGCCAGCTCTCCTGAAGCCCTGTTTCTTGTAGGCTACGTCTACACTAGAGGGCTTTTGCTGACAGAGAGTATGCTAATGAAGCACTCATTAGCATTTGTCGTGCTGTCATTAGCATATTCTCTGCCCGAGGCTTTTTGCACAAGTTGTTTTTGCACAAAAACAAGCAGTGTAGACGGATCCGTTTTGCACAAAAAAAACCCCAAAACCCTTTTGTGCAAGATCCTTATGCCTCACAAAAGTAGGTATACGGATCTTGCACAAAACGGATCCACCTACACTGCTTGTTTTTGCGCAAAAACCTCTTGCGCAAAAAACCTCGGGCAGAGAATACGCTAATGATAGTGCGACAAATGCTAATCAGCGCTTCATTAGCATACTCTCTGCCAGCAAAACCCTCTAGTGGAGACATAGCCTTAGATTTGCTTCCCATGGGATCGCACTTAGTCATGCCTCCGTCGACGGAGGCATGTAGATTAGTTTATTCAAAAAAGGGAAATGAAGCCGCGATTAAAATAATCGTGGCTTCATTTAAATTTAAGTGGCTGCCACGCTGATCAGCTGTTTGTCGGCAGATCGGGGCAGTCTGGATGCGCTGCGGTCAACAAGAAAGCCTTTGTCGATCGGTGCAGGTAAACCTGGTTTCACAAGGCATACCTTGTGATTCGTGGTGGTTTGATGAATTGTGCCTTGAGTCCAAAGACACGAATGATTTTCCACCTAACATACAGATCTGCAAACATACATTCTTACGGTGCATCTACATGGCATCCTAAACTTGAAATAAGATATGCAATTTGCACTACTTAGTGCAAAATAGCTTATTTTGAAATTTGGCGCATCCACACAGCACCCAATTTCAAAATAAAGCACTATTTCGAGCTATCCCTTACTCCTTGTGCAATGAGGTTTACCGGGCTGGCAAAATAGTGGGCCCGTTATTTAAAAAATATTTCAAAATAATGGGCAGCTTGTGTAGACATAAGGTAGCTATTTCGGTGTAAAGGCTAGTAGGGAGTATTATGAACATCTTGTCTGACCTCCTAAGCCAGTGGTCCCCAATCTTTTTGTGGCCAATGCGTGTGGCGGATGCCAACAATTTTTCAAGGCTTATTTTGTATTTTACATTAAATAATACGAAAAGCATCATATTTAATATTACATAATACATGAATCCATAAGATAAAAAAGGTAATTTTACATGTAAAAGCTATTAAATTATTTGGCAATTTATTCAGCCCCGCCAGCCCCCCACTTGGAGAAAAATAGAAAAAAGGCGTCACATGTGCAAACTGAAGGCTATTTTCATATTAAATGTGAATTGGGTAAATTTGATAGAAACAATTTCGTTGGATAATTTTTATTTTAATGATATTGTAATTCATTTTTAAACAAAATTCTGCATTCATAAAAAGGGGGGATGTCCAAATTTTGAGCAAACAAGCACCCCCCCCCCAAAAAAAATCATGGCACCTTTAAATCTCACACTCCCCATCCCCACCATCTGCTGCCATGTCTCCTTCCCTTGCTCCTTCAGCCTGGAAGAACTGCCCGCACCTACACATGGAAGTGAAATGGGAGTTGAAGTAAAGTCCTTAATTCGAATTAGCTGTTAAACCTCATTCCAGGAGGAATAACCGCTAATTTGAGCGAGGGCTTTACTTTGAACTCCCGTTGCACTGCCGCATGTAGACATGGGCAGTTCTTCCAGGCTAGTCAATTTCCAAAATGGTGACCGCCCGGGAACATGCTAATGAAGTGCAGGATATTTAAATCCCACGCTTCATTTGCAATTTTGGTCGCCCTCATTAGCCTCTTTAGTTCGAACTAGGGGGCTAGTGTAGACATACCCTCAGAGAGCACCTATACAGCCATTATTCCGACTTCTGTAAACTTGATTCTACGAAAAATAACACTCGATTCCGAAATAGCTATTTCGAAATAAGGCATGTGTAGACGTTCCACTGCTGCTATTTCAAAATAGCCTAGGGCTATTCTAAGTTATTCCTCCTGGGGCTCTAAATCGAGGTAACGTGTCTACACCAGAGGAGCCTGCCTCAGACTAATTTTGAGGTTTCCCTGCAGTGTAGACGTGCTATTTCAGAATAAGCTATTTCAGAATCACTATTCCAGAATAGCTTATTCAGAAACAACTGTGCAGTATAGACATAGCCATGTAGAGAAACCCTAATGTCACTGAAACCAACCCCAGCCCCCGGGAGCAACAGCCTCTTTCAGAGAACTCAAGCTACTGGTGGGAGAAAGAAGCCGTAGGAGAAACTGGCCCCAGCAGGCTGGTAGGAGAATGAAGAACACTTTGGGGCCTCCTGCTAAGACAACAGCCTGAGACAGATCACGGGCAAAGTGCAAATCAAGCTTCTGTGAGAATCTGGACAGGTAGGCACAGCTGAGTCGTGAGACACCGGTCCAGCCCTGAGATTACAACCTGCTCCGAGGACGGAAATAACCTTATTTTAAAAGGGATAAGGGATCTTTCGGAAAAGGCTTTATTTTCCGAAAGATCCACGTCTAGACTGGCGCTTTTCTCCGGCAAAGCTCCGAGCCAAAAAAAGCAGCAGCCATGTTTATGCTAATGAAGCGGGGGAGATTTAAATCCCTGCTTCATTAGCAATTGCGATACGTCTAATTTGCATCCCTTTTACGAAAAAGATGCAATCTAGACGTAGCCTCCAGGTACTTTTAAGGCTCCTGCCCCCAGCTCCTGATACCAGAGAGGACAGGAATCCTTACCCAGTGAGGCCACGGTCTCATAATTCTCCCGCATCACGTCCCTGTAGAGGGCTCTCTGACCCGGGTCCAGCAGCGCCCATTCCTCTTCAGAGAAATACACAGCTACCTCCTCGAAGGTCACCGGCTCTGCCACAGCCATTTCCTTTCCTTGTCTCTCCAGGGACCGGATGACCTGGAGCAAAAAGTGTCTGTGGTTCTGCCGCTGGTCAGGGCAAGACGCGTGCCTGGGGAGGGTTCGGAAGGGATTTAGTCAGACCCTGATTCCCCCAGACTTTCTCTGTCATCCTAGGGCAATGCTAAATCAGTAGCTGGAGTTCGGATGTAGGTGTCTAAATCATGCGCCTGTACTGAAAGATCCTGGCCTTCGTCCCTTTATTTACAGCCCAGACCTCTGACCAGAACGAAACCCACAGAGAGCTTTCTTCAATCCTCTCCACCACAGGGATGAAGTGAAATCAAGGGGCCCACAGGGAAGTTTGACATTAAACACTTGGCTGTTTATGGAACGAGATCCCAAGGTTAAATTAAATAAAATTCATGGAGATTGCCTATCTCCTAAAACTGGAAGGGACCTTGAAAGATCAGGAGTCCAGTCCCCTGCCTTCACAGCAGGACCAAGGACCATCCCTGACAAATTTTTGCCCCAAATTTCTAAATAGCCTCTGCAAGGATTGAACTCACAACCCTGGGTTTAGCAGGCCAATGCTCAAACCACTGAGCTAGCCCTCCCCCTATGTCAACATAGTTTAACATGAAGGGATCCCTGACTCTTCTAGCCTGACTTTCTGTCTGCCAGGGTGCACTTAACTTGAAATCAGCTATGCAATGAGCTATGTCAGTTGTGTAGCTCTGTGGTCACCAGCTAGTAGATCGGGATCTACTGGTAGATCCTGGAGCCTTTGACAGGGGATCCTGACAGGTTTGGCCAAGAGGCTGTCAAGTGCTGGCACTTCAGCTGCCCCTCTCAGCACTGCCGTGCTGCTTCTGCCCTCTGCCTTGGAGCTGCCCTCCAGCACTGGGAGCCTCTTGCTGTGCAGGGCACGGGAAGAAGAGGAAGGGGCAGGAGTGCTGATGTGAGGGTGCCCCTCCCTCCACCCTGTATCCCATGTCCACAGAGCAGAGGGGGGCAGGGATGGAGGGAGTTTGCTGGCTGCTTTTGGGAGTGGTGCAGGGCCAGGGTAGGGGTGAGCCTGCCTTGGCCCCACTGCCCCACCACCAGAAGCCACCTGTGGTAAGCGGTGCCCAGCTGGAGCCAGCATTCCAAACCCCAGCCCAAGTTCTGAACCCCCTCCTGCACCCCAAAGCCCGGAGTCCCCCTGCACCCAAACTCCCCCTCAGAACCTGCGCCCTGAACCCCCTCCTGCACCTCAACTCCCTGCCCCAGGCTCAGCTCAGAACCCCTCCCACACTCCACAGCTTTTAGCTCTAGATCAGAGACTGCATCCCCAGCCCTCTGCCCCCAGCCTGATAAAAGTGAGTAAGGGTGGCGGAGGGAGGAGGATGGAGTGAGCAAGGGCGGTGCCTTTGGAGAAGGGGCAGGAGGGAGGTGGGGCTGGAGTGTTGGGTTAGAGGTGGATCCTGGATTGCACTTACATTCTAGAAGTGATCTCATGCTTAAAAAGGCTGGAGACCACTGGGGTAGCTTATTTCGAAATAGGGAGTGTCTACACAGCAATTATTTCGAAACAGAGCTCTCTTCCTCCGACTTCCCTTACTCCTTAGACCAGGGGTGGGCCCTTTTGCTCCCCCGCCCCCAGGCCAATTAGGGCCTGGAGGCAGGGGAGCGTGAAATTTCCTCCCGCCCTGGCAAGACCACACAGCGCGTTGAAGCGCCATGCACTCCTCGCCGGGCGGGGGTAGGGTGGGAGGAGGCTTCACGCACTCCTCCCGCCCCCAGGCCAATCAGGGCCTGGGGGCGGGGGAGCTGCACAAAACTTCCTTCGCCCTGCCCTGGCCCTGCGAGACGTGTGCGGCACTTCAAAGTGTGACGTGCTCCTCGCAGGGCGGGAGTAGGTTTTGTGCTCTCCCCCACTCCCTGCCCTGATTCGCCTGGAGGTATGGTCAAATATTGGAATAAATTGCCAAGGGAGGTGGTGGAATCTCCCTCTCTGGAGATATTTAAGAACAGGTTAGATAGACATCTGTCAGGGATGGTGTAGACGGAGCTTGATCCTGCCTTGAGGGCGGGGGGCTGGACTCGATGACCTCTCGAGGTCCCTTCCAGTCCTATTATTCTATGATTCTATGATTAAGCGCGCCAACCCTCTTCCCACCCTGCCAGGGGCATGGGTGCCTAGTGGGAAGGGGGGATAAAAGGGCTCACCCACCCCCACATCAATCATGGCCTGTGGGTGGGGTATCCCAGAAGCATTCTGGCCCTGCCACTTCCAGGGCGACCAAAAATTATTGCCCTCCCCTGCCTTAGACAATGAGGATTACAGGAGTCAGAGTCAGAAGTCCTCCAGCTTGACAGTATTTTGACATTATTTCAAAATAACTGCCTGCTGCGTAGACGTGGACTAAGCTATTCCGAAATAATGTTGCTATGTAGACGTTCCTTCTGAGACCATCCACTATAACCCAGTTAACCTGCATCAACCCCAAAGACATCTTTGTCCAAAACTTATGATCTAGAAGGTATCCAGCAAGGATCTGAAGAGATCAAGATGTGGAGAATCCACCACTTTGGTCATTTCTTCCTGTGCTTAATCATTTTCACGATTCATCTTAATGCCTCCTTCTAATCACATTTATCTGCCTTCAGCTTCCAGACACCAGGGCTATGTCTACACTGGCATGATTTTCCGGAAATGCTTTTAACAGAAAAGTTTTCCGTTAAAAGCATTTTCGGAAAAGCGCGTCTAGATTGGCAGGACGCTTTTCTGCAAAAGCACTTTTTGCAGAAAAGCATCTGTGGCCAATCTACACGCGCTTTTCTGCAAAAAAGCCCCGATCGCCATTTTCGCAATTGGGGCTTTTTGGCGGAAAACAAACATCTGCTGTCTACACTGGCCCTTTTGCGCAAAAGTTTTTCGGAAAAAGACTTTTGCCCGAACGGGAGCAGCATAGTATTTCCGCCAAAGCAGTGACAATCTTACATGAGATCGTCAGTGCTTTTGCAGAAATTCAAGCGGCCAGTATAGACAGCTGGAAAAAAGGGCCTGTTTTCCCGAAAAAATTGGCCAGTCTAGACACAGCCCAGCTCATTTTAGGCCTTTGGCCACGAGAGAAACAACCCCTCCTCCCCGTCAGTGAAATGCTTGGCCAGCGACTCCCCAGAAGCATTTCCACAGAAAACTGGCCCAGGGACATGGGACTCAGGGCGACCCAAAAAGCACAGGGCAGAACCAAGCACAGAGATGGGGGGTGGGGATCTCAAGCCGGCTGCATCCCCTGCATCAGCCTGGCAGCACCCAGAGCTCTCCAAGCCTCGGAAGGGGCAGAGATACCGGACTGTTAGCTGCCCACTCCTGCTCTGGCCACACAAACACTCACCCAGGGCTCGGCCTGCCCAATATGCGCCTGTCACACTTGGGCCTTCAGACGCTCCAGAACCTACACACGGAAAGAGCCTGGAACCGTCACCGTCTGGCTGCAGCCTGCACAAAGAACCTTTCTTGCTCCCCACCGGGTTTGCCCCTGAGGACACAGGCCGGGTCAGCAGGTCACCCTCCCCCCCCCCCCCCCCACCCCTTCCCTTTTTTTTTTTCCTAAACAA